GTTTTTGGAACTCGTCGACAGCTTTTTTTCGTTCTTTGCTGGCTGGATATTTACTAGCAAACTGAGTATGTTTTTTAGTGAAGTGTCTCTCTAAATTTGGTTTTTTATTGTGTGCGAGTTTCTCGAGGTAAATGAGACAAGTCGGAAGGCCATCTGAGTTGCATATGAAAGCGAACGACTGCGTCAAATCCCGATTGAACTCTCGATGCTCTTCTTCAGTTATTCTTTTTTTTTTTTTTTTTGATAAAATAAATAATCTTTGCGTATGGAACTAAAGAGCCACAGCTTCACATCCAAGAGCCGCTGGTTGCCGAACCCTGCCTTAAACCTATTCAAGGCATATGCTTATATTGCACAAAATGTAAAAGGTTTTCGTAATGGAATAGGGAAGTGTTACTTTAGAGAAACATATGGATATTTTTTAATGGACCATGATGAAAGAGCAGCGGCCAATCAGAGAGGAATTACAGGCAGCTATATTTATGTGGTTTTTTTTAATTGTTGCAATTGAAGAAAAATTTAATAACTTTCAAGGATTAAGCTGCTGTCTGTAGAGTTAATGGAACACATTGTAACTTCATATTTCTGTCTTAAAAATGTAACTGTAATAACTGTGTCATGCAATAATTTCATTAATATGGTTTTTTGAATTAAAATTAACATATTGTCTTTAAAAATACTTTAACTATTTTAATCTGCTAATAAATAACTGGAATTTAAAATCTGTGCTATGTTAATTCTGAAATTGTTTTTATATATATATATATATATTCACGGCACGCAAATAATGTTTTGACCAATTTTTCCTTAGTCTTTCTATAACTTGTTAAGAATCATTAGGTTTTTCCTTCTAATTATGGCACCAAGGTTATCGCTAAGTTTTAATGAAGGAAACGTTTAGAAATTGCACAGCAGACGGGTTTATGTTTTAATCAAATATGTTATCACCAAATCAATGTCATTTCGTCTGCCCAACAGTAAATAAAATCCAGCACTGTTATAAATGGTATTCTGAAACCACTGAACCAGCCATCAGAACATTTCTGATACCTAGCTTAGTGATCAGAAATTCTTACAGCTTTTCACATTGCAACTCCAAATGCTTTCATTGATATAATATTTCATTTTGATCCCATTTTCGGATATTCAAATGAAATATGAAGTGTCTGTTTCGTGGATGAATGATATGGCATCTTTTTCGTTCCTTGATAAATAAAAAAATTGTTAAAATTTTCCATAAAAAAATTGATAGAACGATAACAATGAAATTACTCGAAACTCTTCTCTTCATAGATGGGCAGTAAAACGATATGCACTTTATCAATAATCTTGGCACTATTAAATTACTGAGAGCCATTATAATTAGAAAGTGCCACTGTTTTACCTAATGAAAAACTGCTTAATATAGAAGCACTCATTATTGAAATATGTTCTTATGATGAAATTTTTGCAGAAATCTTAATTTGGAAGTTTGATTTTAAATTTTGGAGAAATAAAGAGCATGACCATGCAATCTTTTAAATGTATTATATAAATGTAGAAGCACAAATCGATTAGGTCTCATGAATTTCTGTTGAATGATTAAGTGGCTAATGCTGTCCAATAATTTCTCAATCAAATCTGTGATATGAAACTTTTTGAACAATTAAATTTTTCTGTGCTTTATGTTTTAAACAGTATATCATGTGGATTAAGTAAGAATGATTTTTTATCATGTTTTCTTCAATATCTGCTCAGAATAGCTATCACCTCTGTCAAAAATCTGAGAGATTTATTACATAAAGCAGCTTTGCACTAAACTGTCAAAAATAAATTTAAATCTTGAAATAGTTTTGTTTTTAAGAATTTGTTTTTCTTTGCGCTATTTTATACCATTATATAGAATTAATTTAAAAAATTTTCATTGCATTTGCTTTCATCTGAGAGATTGTTTTGCTTTAGCAAAATAGCATATCCAGTAAACAGCAGCAATTTAAGACAGAAATTTAGAAAAAATAACCAGTCATATCCTATTTGCTTGCTTTTAAAAAACATGCAGCTATTTTTAAGCAAGCTGTCTTTGTAAAGAACTTTTCAGTTGGTATTTAAAATTAGTTTCTGTATTGGAAGCATTACGAAGTGAAATAATGTAGATCAGTTATTAGAAGTATTCCTTTGCTGTTTGATTTAAATAATTATGATAGTTTTAATTAGAAATAGACTGTAAGCTATTAAAACTTTTACATGAAAATTTGATTAATCATACGAATAAGATATTTATCACGTCCAAAAAATAAAGCACCTACAAATCATCGCATGACAATAACCACAGACATATGTTTTAAACCGTTAAAAGTTGCAAATGCATATTCGCATAATGATTTGAGAGCACGAGTAACAATGCAAAATATTTCTATCTCTATATGTCATATTTTTTAAATTCATTAATATTTTCCCCTTAAAAAGCAAGAAGGAAACTTTTGCATTCGAAAGCAGAAAATTAAAGCTACTTATGAGTACATACTTAATGCTATGTACTTAACCGAATTTTGAATTTATGTACTTAACTATTAAAAGTTATTATTTAATTAATCTTTTTTATAAAGTTGTATTGGCAGTTCTTCATGAAAAATATTGTCTTAAAAATTAGAAAAGGAAATATGAGTAATTGTGAGAGATTACCTATATTAAAATTGTTGAAGTAATTATCAAATTGTTTAATCTGATATTCTTTGAGTAAAAATTAAGTCGGTTCATTAAGTCTTCTTAAAATTGTCTTTGACCCTTTTATGTACAGCCTCATTTGAATGTTGATTCATTAATTATGATGAAACATGTCAGGAAGAAGCTACGTAATATATCAGTGCGTAATTTGCATTTATTGGATTGTTGAAAAGTATATTAGGGGTATTTGCCTGAGGAAAGCCTTTGTGGAGGACTTTATATGGAAATGCCTTTTTTGGTGGTCATAAAAGAAAGATGGTGTACTGTTTGTTATAAAAGTTCAAGCAATAACTAAAAAAGTTTCGAATAAAATGTCTCTGAAAAAATTTAATCATATTTTAAAATTATTTATAAAATATCTAAAGTTAAATATAAAAAGTACTCTTTAAAATGACAATTGACGATTCCATATCTTTTTAGTCTTTTGTGGATGTGGTCATCTTAGAGAGATATTGTTTCTATCTGTATTTGTGTTCTCAGAAACATTGGTCATCTTAGGATGCTAGTAGCCAAGAGGATTCCCTGTAATTATATATTCGTTTTAAAAACATCTTCGTGTACATTTTCTAGATCTAATTTTAAATTTGAACCTTCTCAATGAAAGTTGTAAAAACGAATGAGTTTCCGTTAGTAATCTATTCCTGAAATGGCCTCCAGTGGCCAAGGAGTAAAGTTGGTGAGCATTGGTAATTTGATCCCGTGAATGTACTCGCTGCTTAAGATTTTTGTGGTTTTCCTAATATATAATGTGGATACGAGGTAGGTTCTGAGAAAAGTCCTCCACAAAGGATTCCCTCCCCTTAGACAACCCTAATATACTTTCAAATAAATCAATAAATCCAATTCCCATACTGAAATGTTAGATAGCTTCCTACTGATATGTTTCATCATAAGTAATGAATCAACATCCAAATGAGGCTGTATATAAAAGGGTCAAAGACAATTTTAAGAAGCCTAATGAACTGACTTAATGTTTACTCAAAGAATATCAGATTAAGCAATTTGATAATTACTTAAACAATTTTAATATAGGTAATCTCACACATTTATGCATCGTCACTTTTCTAATTTCTTTAGACTATATTTTTCATGAAGCCAATACAACTTCAAAAACGAGATTAATTAAATAATGACTTCTAATCGCTAAAGTACATAAATTTTAAAGTCGATTAACTATGTAGCATTAAGTACTCGTACGTAGCATTAATGCATAAGTACTCGTACATAGCTTTAGTTTTATGCTCAGTTTTAGCTTTCGAATCCAAAAGTTTCATTCTTGCTTTTATAGCAAAAAAAAAAATATTACCAAAAATATGAGCTATAGAGAGGTTCATTCTTGCTCGCGCTTACAAATCATTATGGGAATATGCATTTGCAAATTTTAAAGGCTAAAAACATATGTCTGTGATGTTGTCATTATGCGATGATTTGTAGGTGCTTTATATTTTACGATGATATTTTAGACGAGGATGTTTTTAAGCTACGAAGTTTTTAAACCACTTTGTTTTCGACAACGTTTTAGAACTGCGAATTTTTTCCCTCCCTTTCTTTTCTCCTATGATGTTTCCTACGACAAAATGTTCGCCTTGCGTTGTTTTCTCCGCAATGCTTTCTGTGGGCACCGTAGAAACTATCTATATGTATGTTCATATATATGTATGACACGTACTTAATATGAAGAACTATTCATAATAATAGCACGTATAAGAAACCCCACGCTATGAAGAAAAGGTTACAAAATAGACAAAACTTAGCACACAGGTACAAAAGTATTTTCTGAAAAATGGCATAAATTTCAAACAATTGTTATGTGCCCAGTGATCGAATCTTAATGTAAACCAATATGTTATATAGCCACGTTTTTTATTTATGCGAAATGATAAGAAAATATCTTTTTTATTTTAAAACTTTTCTGTCTAAGTGTATTTTTTTACCGTCATCTATAAACTAACAGAATGTAAAAACTGCCTTGAGCCATGTTTGTAGATTTACAAAATTAGTTAATATGATGCAATTCTATGGTTCATTTCGAAAGAATTACAGCTCAGAAATAATATTTTGATAGTTTAAGTACAGCGTTGTGAAAATTGGTATATCTCAGATGTATACAAATTATTTTGAAAGGCGTTGACTTTAATGTTGTCAATTAAAATAAATTTTAACTCTTATCGATTTAAAGTAAATTTTAACACTTATCAATTAAATACTTCAAAATTGCTAATAAAAGCTATCCCTACTTGAATTATTGTTTTTCTTAGTTTCAGATACTTACGCTGAAATAAGCAATTTGCTACTGGTTCATTGACATTAATCTTTATTCAGACATGCTAATAAATGTGTACATTAGTGTACTTTTATGAGATGGAAAATGTCCAAACTAACTGAAAAAAATTTATTGCAATAATGCCAGTATTAGTAATACATGCTTTGCAGAAGATGCAGTGGTTTTCCCGTGTGTAATGTGTATACAAGCTAGTTTCCCTTAGAAAGTCCTCCACGAAGGCAGCTCTTCCCTTAGGCAGATAGCCCTCGAGGCTTTGCCATAATTGCACACACACGCAGAAGATACAATGATCATTACAATATTTTAGAACTCAAAAGTAAAAATAGAAAAAGAAAATGAGTGTTAAATGTGTAGATTTTATTCTTTACAAGGATCATAATCATGAAATAAATTTCCAGATCATAATCATAAAATTATGTAATACCTTTTACTGACTAGTACCAAAAATAAGTCCCTTTTGAGGGTGAATTGAAAGATTTTTTAAAATTAATATACTTAATGCAGCATTTACGATATCAGAATAAAAACGTTTTTCCCTTTTAGTATATGCAGATATATTTCTTGAAATTCTCTGCTGTAAGCTTTTTGTAAAATTAGATCACAATTTACTTTTTGTATTTTAAATTATTTTCATATGCTTTTACATTTATTTTTTTAATCCTTTTTTTAAGTTTATTTTTTTTTAATTCCCCCCTACTGATTTAGTCTCTAACATTTGTGGAATATGCAGCTTATGTAATGGGTGAAGAACTTTTTTTAGAAGATTCACCAGCCTGTTCTAATACACCACATAATTTGTGAAATAAAACAGTTCCAAGATTCTATTAATTTTCCATACATAACAGTAATAGAATTTCCTGCTTTCATAATATCATTTAATTAGAAATCTCTTTGTTAGAATTTAACCTGAAACTCCTTCCGATTTAAAATTTGTGGTCAATTTTCTTTTCTTGAAGTTATCCGAACTGTAAAAATATCGAAATTGTTTTGATTTGCTACTTTTACTCTACATGTGTGTCTAAATATTTTACAGTAACATTTTACAATTATTTGATTTTTAAAGCTTTTGCCATAGTACTCTTGGACTCCATACTTTTTAATTGTAATTTTTGCTGCTCAAGTTTGAAATAGTACTATTACAGTAGTTTAGTTTTGATTTGTAATAAGATATATAATTTAGTCGTACATCATTAATAGCTTCTCTCTCTCTCTCTCTCTCTCTCTTTTTTTTTTTTTTTTTTTTTTTTTTTTTCTATTAAGCTGCTGAATACAGAACTGTTAATTTTCTTTACATAACTATCTGTAAGAAGAAAATTAAAATGAAAAATGATACATCTCTAGTGTTGAACATCAAATGATAAAAGCAGCCTGTACCCATAGTAGGATGGTGATTGTAAAATAACGATTATTTCATTGAATTAAGAAAATATGCAAATTTTTTGTCAAACGGTATTTTTGTGCTTTTTTTTAAAACCCTGCTGCATTTTAAAGAAACAGATTTGTAGAAATATATTTGATATGGCACTACACTAGAATTTGTAAATATTAATTTGAAAGTAAGTCATTGACGTATAGGTTTCGAACTGAATAAATATAAACCTTTGAATAAAAATTAATTTGCAAGGTAATGTTTTAATTCAATCTGTGCTTTAAGACTCAAAAGTTTCACCTTTATCAACTTCTTTTATGAATTTTACGAACTTTTCACACTTTTAAGTGTTCTGATCAGGAATGAAGTTTCAGATAGTTTATTGCACGAAGCACAGTGATTTGCAAGCTTAAAACAAGCTTAGCAGTAAAAGATAATTAGAAACTATATAGAAGTCAGGTAATATTTAGCAAATATTTTTCTGTATAAAAATGTATAGCATAGTATAACACTGTTACGTAAACCGCTTACTTTAAAGCAGAATTTTTATTAGATAGAAAACAGAATATTACCAACCACATTTGGCAAAATTTTTTAATAAATTCTCAGAACTCTTGAAGTTAAGTAGACCTAAAATTAAAGGGAAATTTTATAGTTCAATCATATGTGTATAAATTTTGTGCAGATAGATCTATTTATTAATTACTACACCATTTTTATCCATTTAATTTATTGAAGGTTCGAAATATGTGCAGATGAAAAATAAATTAAGGTCTTTAAAATTATACTGTACGAACATCTGTCTGAAATTCTGCAACAGATAGAGGTAATTTTATAAGTGTATGACACAAAACAAAAACTTAACTATGCTGATAATTAAATGCCACATAAATATAAATTAAATAATCATTCCGATTCAGCACTCAACCAATCATATTGCTTAGAAATTGCTTGGTCTTTCATATCTTTCAAATTTTCTAGGCATTTCTTGCAGAATACCATCATATTATCGACTTCTGGAATTTTTCGTACCTCCGCTGTAAAAAAAAAAAAAATTGTTTAGATTCTGGAAAGGTAAAAAAAAATTACATAGTCATTGCAAAATCCATTAATAGTGCTTTTAATGTAACTAAAAATGAATTTAGAACATAATGCACTCTATTCTGTTTCACTTTTATTCATGTTTAACTTCATATTACAAAGCTACTGTATTTACCCTAATTTGATATTTTGTTTTTATTCATCATTATTTTTAGGGCAAAATTTTTGTACACGTATTCAGTTTTCATCTGTGCATATATCAAAATGCAGATTTCTTCATTATTACCGTTACTGTTAATATTATTGCAGTTTCATATTTTTATAACAGTAACAATAAGTGTTATCAAAGGCTTTAAATCTCATTCTCAAATGTTTTGATTTTAATTATAAAAATAGGTAACGTATAATTAAGCTATAAAGTTTTTTTTTTATTTCAAGAACCTATTCATTTAATCAATATTTAAAGTAGATATTTAAATATTACTCATAATTTAGTACATTCCTTGACAAAATACAATGCATCCGAAAAAAATCAATGAAATGGGATGAAAATTGGTATGTGTAACACTCGTGATTAAGAAAGGAACTCATAACGAATCAAGAACATTGAAAGCATATTCATTTAAAACATCTACGAATGTGCAAGGGATTATTGTAGTGCCACCTGCCTCGAATACAAGCAGTTAGCCAGCATGGTACAGAAGTTTACGGTTCACGAGTAGTATCCAAGTTATAATGCACTACATAGGATTCAGTGAGGTCTGTGACACATTGGGACAGGAGTTGACCTATGCCATCACCTGTCAAACAGACTCGATTAGGGACATACTGAATCATCAGTCTAGCCATGGAAGCATGACCGTAGTACAGTAGTCCTTGTAAAATCATGCCCTGAATTAGCAGCTCTTTGCCATGGCCTGTAAAAATTGTGGTGAGATTGGTCCCACAGTAGGCAGAAGATAGTAAGGATGACTGCCAAGGCTGTCCATCTATTATAATAAACGGCTTTCCGTACAGTCAGGTGGAAGATATGATTGATGTCCACAGTAAGACAAAATCTGTTTCCCTCTCCAGACACCTGCTATTGGCAGTTAATGTGTTCTGACACTGCTAAAGATCACCCCACTGTTAATGTATTTATTGACCTCCATGCCTGATCGTATTAGACACCACTCTAAGAGTTGCCGACAATACTTGCTCTCCAGGATTTAGTAATAGTACTTTGGAAATGTAGTCATTGTTCTGCAATTCATTTGGCAACGGTTCGAATGGGCGCGTCTTTCCGTACAGCGGGCTTCATATGGCCACAAATGTTAGAACAGGAAGGGGTCGATACAGTTCCTTGAGCTATTATCATGACATTCTCGTGTGTTCTTGGAATACCAGTGTTGTGTAGCTGAATTTTCTTTTTCAAAACTACTGAACATTACTACTTGTTGGTTTGCCATTGTCTTTGGACTCGTACGTCACTCCCATATGAATGGCGGAATACGCGATTAATGTATGAGCCAAGCTGTTACGGTTATACCGTGTGGTTTCTCGCCACCTTGCTCATTTGCTCACATTGAGTACGGATTTGAAGTCAGGAAAACCTTTACAGATTTACGCAACGACAGTGTGCTGTCATAAATGCCTTGGCGTTTGAGTTTTGCTACTGCCTATCCTCTTCGATGCATAGATTTTCCATTCTTTATCTGTTCTGTCATTAACTAGTATTTGATCGCTTTATAATTAATTTTCTGCTTCCGTATGACATGCATTCGGGGTGAATTGGAAACACACGTCTGATTGGCAATCAGGTGGCGCTGAGTTTGAATCCCAGTGAGGGCATTCCTGCTTCGAAATCTAATGACTCGAAAATTCTCATGATTTGTTGCTCATTTGCATAGTCTGTTTTACTACGCTTTCTTGGAATTTTAAAATTTTACGTAATATTTATAAGGACGCTATGAATGCAAAGAAGTAAATTGAAATGGGTCCTATCTTTGATAACTCAAGTGTCAGAGGCTGTGAATCTGCAGACTGTGTACTTTTCCAGAAATTTTGGCAGCATTTATTTCTGTAATTTTGCCTTTGATGACATCCAATTAAAACAGAAATTATTAAGTAATAGGAAAAGTGTTCTCTCGTTAACCCATTAGCCGTTGGTGTTGCGTTGACGCAACGGTCAAAATCAATGCATGCGTATATAACTACCTAAGATATTTTATACCAGCAGATGATTTTGTGTAGGGAATATTATGAAGATTATTTCTGTAAAAAAATGTTTGCCTTCAACAAACATTTTGTGTATAATAATTAATCTCATACTTTAAGCAAAATTTTCGACCGGGTATTTTTGCTGAAAATATTTAACGAAAGAATCGCCCTCTTTATGAGTGATCTATTTTTAGTCAAGGTCACCGTTTATCAGAACATTACATCAGTCAGATGTTTATATTTGTGTTGGGAAAGGAAGGGGAAAAAGGTGTTGCGTTGACGCACTTCAGCAGGAAAAGGGTAGTCAATCTCCTTTTTCACTCATTCCTTTCGATGTTCTGGTTCATGTTCTGTTGTTTAAAAATGCCTAGAACGAGGTATCTTACATTAGAAGAAGCCCTTTCAAAGATTTTTTGATTAAGAAAATAGATGATGATAATGTTAATAATGACCAGAATGAAACTGATATTGTTGTTGTTCCCCCCAGAAATTGCAGGGCTAATGATAAGAAAAAGGAATGGCAATGTTTTAATAATTATAATGATATTTTACCAATGATACTGCTGGGGAAGTTAAATTCACGTAAGAAATAAGTTTCAGCCTCCTAAAAGCAGTTGTAGTCATACTAAAAAAGTTTAAAAAGCAGAAGACGAAATCTTGAGTGGATAAAAAAGGAACTGTTAGTTATGTCTCAGGAAGAACATGGAAGAGGTAGAAGAGAAATTATAAAAGACAAAACCAAGGTAAAACTAGTGCCAGATTTTTGATTTTCTTTTGGTTTAGACATTTACCTCTTCCGTTGAACAGACAAATACATACGCTCAGGAGAAAAAAAAAGAAAAAAAAAATTTATTGCATCTGAATCCTATATGAGAAGTTTATTGGAATATTATTGCTTGCAGGATATCATTCATTACCTCAAGAAAAAAAGTATTGGTCTTTTGATGAGGACATTTCTGTTCCTGTTGTACGAGATTGATATCCCTTGCAGTACAGGAATATGAAGCAGAATTTGCATTTGACAATAGTCAATTGACAATACGATAAATTTTGAGGTGAGACCTTATCTAAACTTACTAAGTATCACCACTTTTTACTACTGGAAATATAAAATCTCTTCTAGATTTCAGACGCAAGAATGCATTATTCCTTTTGCAAACTCCTAATAAGAGTGTAGAATTAGCCAGAAATAGATCAGCAACAGGAAAACCTAGTAAATTCAGCATTCAAAAACCATTGAATGGAGATGTTAGACATTTTATCGTAAAGTTCGTTGATAACAAAAGACTTTGTTGTAAAGAGTACCATAGCCAGACTGTTTATAGATGCAAAGTATGTAAGGTAGCTGTACTTCATGATTGTAATCAAGCTTTTCATGCTTGAATCTTTCAAATGAAATAATCTATATTTGTAAAAGAAAACAATTTATTTTAATATTAAATTAATTAGAATAAAGTGATTTGCAGATTTATAAAACGTTATACTATGTTCAGGTTCAATGTTTTCTCCTTCTTCGGAAACATACAATGACCTGACTAGAACAAGAGCTTACTAAGCTATGTTCACTAATTGTAGTAATAGACAGGATACAGACGAAGGGTATAAACCCCTTTATTTTTTCTTTATATACAATGACTTCCGTACTTCGGAATACAATGACCCTCCACTCGGGTCTAACGTAAAAGGTATAAAAATAAACTAAACTCTAATTTAACTTTAGAATAAGATTGGCCTTATAATAACAGGAAGCGTATGTAGCACAGAGACTGTGAACACTACAATACTTTAATTTATCAGAGATTAAACCTCTGGCCTGGAAGGCAAATAGCAACTGCGTACTTCTAAGGTAAGCGGCCTGCTTCGAACTCACTGCTTCCTCTCTTCTGCTTGGCAAAAAGGCCACACTTAAATACTTGGCGTTCGCCAGACAACTTTGCATAAACTCCTTCACGCTTATAATTCTGGCCGGAAGTAGAAAATAAGAAGTGATAGTAAAGATTTAAAATAAAATAAACGTTAGTAAAACTTAAGATCCGTACAATACAGCTAAAAAGTAATCCTGCGCTCCACTCAAAAGAAACATCACACGAGTACGATCCTACTCACTAAACATCCGTAGTCTTATTCCGCTGACGTTGCGCGAACGCAACACTCGCTTTTTCCACAGGTAAGAGCATTTTTTTTTTTTTTTAAATTTTTTTTTTATTTTCAATGTAAATTTATGTTATAAATGCTTAATTTAATATTTGTTATTATTTTCATGAGAAAAGAAACATTCCTTGTAGTTTTGGCGGTTAATGGGTTAATACACTACTCGACATTGAAAATGCAACACCAAGAAGGAGTGGTCAGAAAGTGATGAAATTTGGAAAAAAGACAGGCAGCAAGCAGCAGTAAGTGATCTTTATTTCAAAATGATAGTCAGAATACAGAGCGAGAATGGCGTCGGCTCAGTAGGATGTAGGATCACCGCGAACAGCGATGCACGAAGAAAGACGTCTAGGCATAGAGCCAATAAGAGTGCGGATGGTGTCCTGGGATGGAGGGATGGCTCTCCATTCCCTTTCAACCATATGCCACAGTTCGTCTTCTGAACGAGGCAAGGCCAGAATGTGCAAACGGCGTCTAATCACATCCCACACATGTTCGATTGGTGACAGGTCAGGAGAGTACGGTTGCCAGGGAAGCATCTGTATACCTTGCAGAGCATGTTGGCAGATGTGAGCACTGTGTGGTCGGGCGTTGTCCTGCTGAAAAATTGCATTAGGCAGCCCCTGAAGGTAGGGGATTGCCACCG